AACTTGGAAACATTTTAATATAGACTGTATATTATATAACATTAAAATATTGGTGTTGGGCCAGTTCTGTGGTGCAGCTATAATGTGCTACTCAAGAGAAACTGTGAGAAGTTGGGTCTTACAATGGCGACTGGTTCAAATCCTTGACCTGGTCTGTCTGAAACATGCCTGGCATGCATGAAAAATGCCCAGGGTTTGACAGGCTACAGAACTGGAAGAAGGAAATAAGAGCAAGGAGACCAGACACTGTAAAGGGTATTCCTCTCTCTCTTCTTCTCTCCCTCACATATGCACATACATGCTCTATTACAAATAAAGAAATAAATTGGTGCTAATTTGGCTAATATGTTTGATTTACCTTATTTTTCCTTGCATAGATATTTTGTTGTCCTTTTTAGTTTTCCTATAGGGTGCATCCACTCAACAGAGAGAGACAGATCAGGGTGAGGAATAGTGAGATGGCCACACCACAATCCCTTCTCTTCTATTGTCCTCTTGGGATTTGAGGCATGTACGCACACATGCCTGATGTGTTTTTCAAGCTGATGGGTCCAGGACTCAAACCACAGAATTGACCATGTGAGATCCAGTGCCTTAACTACAATGCCACCAGTGTTAACCTTAACATGTTAAAATGGTATTCTTTATGGTAAAAAGAAAGGCCATTTTATGGTGCATGCCATTTTCACTGTGTTTAAGTATGCCGTTCAGTAGTGCTCAGTATTGTTGAGCATAGATCTCCAGAGCTTCATCAACTCTCCACAGAAACTGCTTAGTGGGAGTGGTCCCTGAGAAAAATGTTTAATGGATACAGAATGCATGTGAATAAGAAGAGGCTGTGAGAGAGCGTATCAAACAGAGTAAAAATATGGACAATTTAATAACGTAAAAACAAAAACAAAAACAAAACTCCATTTTCTCCTTTCCCAAGCCCTTAGTAACTACTATCTACTTTCATTTAAAGTCATGCTGTGTGTAGAAAATACTTTCTACTATCTACTTTCACTTAAAGTAATGAAGTTCATTTCATTACTTTACATACTTCATTTTAACAGTTGAATTGTGTCACCCCCCCACCACCACCACCAATTCTTCTGCTGAAGCCCTAACCCCAGTACAGGCAGATTGTGACTATTTTGGGAGCTAGGGCCTTTAAAGAGATAATTAAGGTTAAATAAGGTCATATGGGTGCGCCCTAATCCTACTGACTGGTATCTTTATAAGATAAGGAAATCTGGACATGCCAAAGAAGGATGTGCACACACAGGGGAAAAGCCACATGAGGACAAGGAGGCTGTCACCTACAAGCCAGAGAGAAGCCTCAGGAGAAGCCAACCATACTAACACTTCAGCCTTGGACTTGGATCCTCCATGACTGCGAGAAAATACATTTCTGCTGTGGAAGGCACCCATTTTATGCTATTTTGTTTTGGCATCCCTACAAACTTATGCAAGTGGAGTCAAACAGCATTAGCCTATTTTGTGACTTACTTATTTCACTTGGCATAAAATTCCCAAGATTCATTTATGTCATAGATGTAACGGGATTTATTTCCTTGTTAAGGCTGAATAATAATACATTATGTATATATACCACATTTTGTTTACCCATCCATCAATTTATGGACATTTGGGTTGTTCCTATCTCCTGGACACTGTAAATAATGCTGCTACAAACATATATGTACAAATATCTCTTTGAGATTGTGCTTTCAATTCTTT